AAGTGCATTTCAAAATTAGGTGGATAGTCTGTTCTTGGATGTGAACAATTAGGATGAAAGATGGATCAATATCAGTTCTAGTCCCACTATGATGTAAGCATGGAATGATTGGAAGGCCTTAACAGGAATGAAAGGAATTTGTTTATCTTTAATAACAATCTCGCACAATTATTTGAATTTATTCTGAATTGAATACCAAAGACCACAGCAATATATTACCAAAATTACTTTTAATAATCTGTAATCATGATAGGTTCTTTTTCAATTTTGTTGAGGGCAGAGAATTGTGAAAGAATTTATAAAATCACCTTTATTTACTCAGGTTCTGAATTTCTAGTGAGCATAACAAAAGCGTTTCAGGGAGACTCATCAAGTAACTGTTAACTGTATTTGTTTCTCTTTCATTTAGAGGCATTTAAAAAAATCTGATATATTAGAAACTGCTGGGAACATTGAAACCTTGTTACTTTCAGTATCCCTTTGCCAATACAGTGATTTTTGATAAATTACATTTATTGTATCACATGCTTTAAATATTTTTTCACCAAAACTTTGGAACTACACATTTAACTCATTCGAATTAAGGAATGCATCTGTCATTATAACCAAATAAGCAGACCAGTTTTCATTATCAAACCAATCAGGTAAATTAGGTTTACTTTCTCTCAGATAAACTTGACTGCATTTATCAATTCAAATCAATGTGTTAATACACACTGCCTGACATCTCACTTCTTAATGCTGATTTTAGGTCAGGCAAGTCACAGAGCCTTACTAGGACTCTGTTGCCTAAATGAAAAAGGTTCCACTGCTTTCAGTTTTTCTTACCCATACAGTCTAGCTTTATTCTCTTAGGCTCTTCTTTAAGAGGGATTTTTTTTTTTTTGTAAGTATTTGGGTGATGCAAGAGATGAAGTCCTTAAACTTAGTATCACTCCCTCTGCTACACTGTCTAAAACATCTGAATCCATTACATCCCTACTGAGGCCAAACCCTCCTGCTTTTATGCCACATTTGGCTCTTAGCAAAAATATGTGTAAGGCAAAGAAAAATAGGGGGCCTAGCAAAGATTTATGAAGTCTTGATTAAAAGAGACTTTAGTACCAGCACTTATATTATTTTTTTTTCCTTTGGAGCCCTGGAGGTTTTTAAATATCTCAAGGCATTACAATATAGTAAAATTTGGAATGAGGGAGATTTTATTTACCTGTGTACCTACGTATATTAAGTATGTATTTATGTGGGAAAAGGACAAATGAGAAATTGAGAAGAATGAAACAAGAAAGGAGAACTGTAGAATTCCCTCCATCTAAAACCATTCTTAGATCAGTTTTGTGAAAGAACATACATGGAAGATGAGGATCTGGAAAATGACCCCCTTGAAACCATACTTGGTTGTGTAACCTTTGGAAAATTGTTATGTGCTCTCAGGGGTTCTCTTTTTGAAGAATGCTGCTGTAGAATTACCAGTGAGGAGGTCTAGGAGGTCTACGTGTCAACAGAGTTCAGAGTAGAATGGTGAGGTGACTCAAGTAGCTCATGGAGGTGGCTGGTTCTGTAGGTGAGTGTATTTAGAAGGGGACAAATGAGGCCTGGTTTAGGTCAGGAGTGAATGGGGCTTGGGGGGCAATGATAGTATTGAATAACTTCAAATTTGCCCAGTGATAGGAGAAAGCAGTAGATTTTGTGTGTGGGGAAAGAAGCAAGGTGTTTATCTTTTGCTGGAAGGAGCCTCATAGGGGTTAGGATGTGGTCATTTGATATAATGATGGATTTGGGCAGGGGGAATAGGGTAAGAAATCTGAGGATCAGGAAGAGGATGACAGGGATATTTCTCTCATGGGAGATTGTCCTGGGATTAAGGGGATGGGAAAGGAAAACATATTTTTGTTATATCCCTATTTCTGTCTTGTAGTATTATGTACCCAGTAAATTCTTGATACTTGTTAATTGATTAGTTCATAAGCAATGTGATTAAAGTTTCTGTCTGTTAAAATCACTGACAGTTCAGAAGAGGGATTCTTCTCTGTTCCTCACATATCACATAAATGGTAGATCAAATTACAGTAATTTATTAAAAAATCAGAATTCAGGGAGTATTTTATTCTGAGAAATTGTAAGGTAGTCAAATAATCTCCATGTAGGCTAAGTTGCTTCAATTTCCACAATCAAGTTACCCAGTAGTGGACTTTGATAGTAGTTTTGATAATAAACTGCATGTTTTAAACAGTATCTGAGAAACATCTTTCCTGTTATTTCTGCATTCCTCTAAGGAGACAAATATTATGAAAAGTAAACATGCAAGCAGGTTCTGGGAAAGAATGAAATTGTGTATATTCTTTAATTAAAGCAAGGTTTTCTTCTTCCGAATTTTTGATAACCTCTAAAAGTATGAGAGAAAACGCACATGGAAAAGTGAATGCAGGTACACACAACTTGGTAGTTTCCCAAAGGAGAAGAAACCACTCTCATTAGTTAGCAAAGATAAGAATAGAAATAATGGATTTAAATTTGAACAAAAAGTGTTTGAAAGAGTGGAGAAAAATTTAACAGTAAGATCAACTGGGGAATGAAACCAATTTCTGGAAGAGTTGATGGGATCAAAATCATGTGAAACTGTAAGGTTGCGGCTCGTCAAGAAGAAGAATGCACTGTGTACTCAACATTCTCTAAAGACACAAGTGAAGAAAGCAAGTGAGAGCAGTGAGCAGAGGGACAGAGGGGGTTTAAATCCCTGTCCAGTGTGGTTTTCTTTCTTCTCCAGTGTGAAATGAGAGAAGTTGGAGGCTGTGGGCATGCTTGCATGGCGAGTAGGGACAGTGACTCCACTGTGGGATAGCATCTGTGATTATGCCTGGGAGCCGAGCCCAGGAATCCTGGGTATCTTTTTCTCTTCCGTTTCCGTGGGAATTTAGGGAACATTGAGGCAGATTTTCTCTTTACCACTAGTGCAGTTTTAGGGGATAAAAGATACTCTTTCCTGGAAAGATGGGGTCCGTAAATGGCCCATAGAGATATACTACATTTCAGGCACATAAAGGCTTAGAAGAGATCATGACTGAGCACACGGGATAGGCAATTTTTCCCTGCTTGGCTCAGAAGTCACTGGAGAGAATGATGCCCTGTGAGTGGAGTTTATCTTAAGGCAAATGAAGATCTGGATAGAATAATTGAGAACAGAGAGTACCTGTGACCATTTCTAACAGACCTCTTAGGAGCAAACTTAAATGCAGAAGTGGTGATACAGGACTGATTATAAAAATGATGTCTTAAAATTGTTTATAGTTTAGTTTATAGGTTGCTGCCAGAGGGGTAGAGCCTCACATAAATGAGTGGAGCCATCATTTAACAGATTCAGTTGCTAGCTCTTCTGTTGTGAGGTTAGGCTATTTCTGACTACAGAGGGCCCTGCATGTGCCTTCCATGTCCCTCAAACAGCTGGGTTGTGTTGTGGTCAGCTGTCCCTTATGTGGAAAGCATCTCTGTTACCACAGTATGGGACAGATTGTGTCTCCCTCCAAATCCATATGTGCGAGTCCTAACTCCTGATGTCTCATAATGTGAACTTATTTGGAGATAGGGTCTTTTTAAAAATTTTATTATGTTATGTTAGTCACCATACAAAATACATCATTAGTTTTTTTTTTTAACATTTTTAAAATTTTGTTATGTTAATCACCATACATTACGTCATTAGTTTTTTTTTTTTTTTTTCTGGAGAAGTGCAAAAGAAATCTTCAATTAGTTAATTTCCAAATAGCTGTTCCTGCTATAGTTTTTTAAAAATTTTTTCATTGTTATGTTAATCACCATACATTACATCATTAGTTTTTGTTGTAGTGATCCACAATTCATTGTTTTCGTATAACACCCAGTGCTTCATGCAGTACATGCCCTCCTCAATACTTACAGAGGTAATCAATTTTAAGTGAGGTCGTTAGAGTGGACCCTAATCCAGCATGACTGGTGTCCTTATGAAAGGAGAAATTTAGACACAGAGATATACATGGAGGGATACAGTGTGAAGAGGCGTAGGGAAATGTTGGCCATCTACAAGCCCAGGTGAGAGGTCTGGAATAGATCTTTTTCTCACAGTCCTCAGAACCAACCTGCTGACACCTTGATTTCAGACTTTTAGCCTCAAGAACTATGAGCCAATAAATTTCTGTTGTTCAGGCCACCCAGTTTGTAGTCCTTTGTTTTGGTAGCCCTAGCACACTAATGTACCTACTAATTATGGATTCACATACACTGTTTTCTTTATTTCCTTCCTTCCTTCTTTCTTGCCTTGCTTTGTCTTGTTTCCGTTCCCTTCCCTTTCCTTCCTTCTTTCTGCACATGCTGTGTGTTAGGCATTGAGAATACAATAATCTTGGTCCTCAAAGAACTTTCAGCTGCGTGATGAAGATATATGTATAAATGGACAGTTTTAAAGTGCTGGAGTAGAAGAAGAAGTAGGAGGGATTCACTTTAATTATTTGATGTCTACTATGTACTATGCAGCATGATTCAGGGTTAAGAGGCATATTTGAAATCCAACTCTGCACTTCACATTCTTCATGTTGAAGAGCTATTTAATCTAAGAGATAGTTTTCTCATTTGTAAAATGGGGAAAGTGGTGTCTCCTAGTGGGATTTGTGTAAATTTTAAATGGGATACTGAATGTAAAATATTTAGGATAGAGTCTGTGTCTTAGCTCAGGTTGCTATAACAAAATATTAGGTGGCTTAAACAAAAGAAATTTATTTTCACGGTTCTGAAGGCTGGGAAGTCCAAGATCAGGGTCCCGGCAGGTTTGGTTCCTAGTGACAGCTCTCTTCCTGATTTGTAGACAAGCTGCCTTCTTGTTATGTGTTCGCATGGTCCTTCCTCAGTGTGTGCATATGGACAGAGAGAGAGATCTTTCTGTTTTCCTCTTCTTTTAAGGGCACTAATTGCACCTCTACAAACCCAGATACCTCCCCAAGACTCCAAATACCATTACATTAGAAGTTAGGATTTCGGGGAAAGCAGCAGCACCAGATCCAAGATGGAGGCCAGCGGGAGGCTGATGAAGGAGCTTGAAGAAATCCGCAAATGTGGAATGAAAAACTTCTGTAACATCCAGGTTGATGAAGCTAATTTATTGACTTGGCAAGGGCTTATTGTTCCTGACAACCCTCCATATGATAAGGGGGCCTTCAGAATCGAAATCAACTTTCCAGCAGAATACCCATTCAAACCACCGAAGATCACATTTAAAACAAAGATCTATCACCCGAACATCGATGAAAAGGGGCAGGTCTGTCTGCCAGTAATTAGTGCTGAAAACTGGAAGCCAGCAACCAAAACCGACGAAGTAATCCAGTCCCTCATAGCACTGGTGAACGACCCCCAGCCCGAGCACCCACTTCGGGCTGACCTAGCTGAAGAATACTCTAAGGACCGTAAAAAATTCTGTAAGAACGCTGAAGAGTTTACAAAGAAATACGAGGAGAAGTGACCTGTGGACTAAACTCTGCCGCGACCGATTCCAGCGAGTGTGAGCGGAGACCCCGCAAAGCAGGACTCTGTGGAAAATTGACACGTGCTGCCGCCTGGCTTGCTTGTGGCAGTTACTAACTTTCTACAGTTTTCTTAATCAAAAGTGGTTTAGGTAACCTGTAAAGAAAGGATTAAAAATTTAAGATGTTCTAGTTCTGCTTTCTTTGTTTTAAAAATCACTGCTTCAATCTACTTTAAAAGAATGGTGTTGCTTTTCTTGTACAAAAAAAAAAAAAAGTTAGGATTTCAACATATGAATTTTGAGGGGACACAAATATGTAGCCCATAATAGCCTGAAGCATAATATATAGCAGATATTATTAATTGCTGCTTGGGGAACATGTGGTAACTGGAATTGTATACAGACAAATAATGAAATTGAGGGCTGACAGGATAACCAAACAGAATGTGAAGTCCAGAACTCTACTTTGCTATTCATGTAAGCGTTTTATCAGGGTGATGTGGGAGGCATGGAGTGAGTTTTTTTTTTTTTTTTTTACAAAGATAACAGTAATATTTCATTTAGAAAGATCTAGGTTAGACTTTCCTGTCTGGCCTTGAGGTTGTGGGGCCGTCAAAGCACTCTTTCATAAGAGAAGCACTCTTTCATATTTCAAAGAGAAATAGCTTTGTTTGGGGACTTCCAAGAGGAACGAGAGTGCTCTTAGATTTGGTTATGACATTCCCATTTTGACCTGGGAAGTGGAATTTGTGAGGATGGTGTCTTGATTTTCTGAGTTGTGACTTAGGAAGCTGGATGTGAGATTTTGTGGCTAAAGCCATTAACAGGATACATTTTATTTTTTTTAAAGGATACATATTAGATATTTAGAAATTGTCAACTTGTTAAAATAGCAAGCTTAAGCAGAATTGGAAAAAGCAATTATTGTTTTAGGAGCTGTTGGATAAAATGATCTTGGAATACAGTTCAAAAATCCTCCCTTGCTTTTATTTCAAGAGCAATGACTGAAAATAATTTTAGTTTCACTATAGTAAAACTTTTGGACAATGAAGCTTTTGGATACTGAAAATAGTTCAGTATTGAATGGTACTTTTCTACCCTTGATTTTGTTAAGATAGGGATTTTTTTTAATTTTTAAATTTTATCTTTTTTCCTCTTTTTAAAAATTTAAATTCAATTAATTAACATATAATGTATTAATGGTTTCAGAGGTACAGGTCTGTGATTCATCAGTCTTATATAATACCCAGTGCTCTTTACAGCACATACCCTCCCCAGTGTCCATCATCCAGTTACTCCATCCTTCTACCCCTCTCCCCTCCAGGAACCTCCCCTCCAACAAACCTTCGTTTGTTTCCTATGATTAATAGTCTCTTAGGGTTTGTCTCCCTCTCTAGTTTCATCTTGTTTCATTTTTTCCCTTCCCTTCCCCTATGATCCTCTGCCTTGTTTCTTAAATTCCACATATCAGTGAGATCATATGATAATTCTTTCTCTGATTGCCTTATTTCGCTAGATTTCAATTTTTTGATGGCTGCCTAATATTCCATTGTATACATATACCATATCTTCTTTATCCATTCATCTGTTGAAGGGCATCTTGGCTCTTTCCACAGTTTGGCTATTGTGGACATTGCTGCTAATAAACATTGGGGTGCAGGTACCCCTTCAGATCACTACATTTGTATCTTTGGGGTAAATACGCAGTAGAGCAATTGCTGGGTCGTAGGGTAGCTCTATTTTCAACTTTTTGAGGAACCTCCATACTGTTTTCCAGAGTGGCTGCACCAGCTTGCATTCCCACCAACAGTGTAGGAGGGTTCAAGATAGTGATATTTTTAAAGCATAGAGCCCTGTGGTTCCCTATTAAGCAAATACAGTCATACAACACCCCATGTCTTCCTCCAGAGGGGGCTCTGGTCACTCTTCAGTGTGTATGGAACTTGGGCCAGCCAAGGGGCTTCAAGATCTGATGGCCTCTATTCCACCCTTGTTTTTGAATGGGATCACTGACAACCTTCCAGCATAGAAAGGGTGGCAATTCTTCTCATTGACATAAAAACAAAAAACAACAATAACCACAAAAGCCTCAGTGGAAAAAGCCATTTCCATTAAACAAACAAACAAATAAACACAGTAGAACAAATCCCTGAGGATGGAGTCAAAGGACTTGCGTTATATGAGTTTGGGGAATCATTTCGTCTCTTTGAACCTCGGGGTCTTCTTTTTAAAAATCCAGACCTGGACTAGATATCTCAAAGATTCCTTCCAGCTTTGGAGAATGGTTGAGTGCTTTTATTTTCATGGAAGGAATAACCAGCCTGGAAGTCTTTCCATAGAAGGTAGGTTTTGAGTTATATTATTATTTGCAGTGATCTAGATTGGCAAATTGAGGATTAGAAATGGAATAAAGAAGGCATTGTTGAGAAGTGGGAAGAACAAATGGTTTGGGATGGAAGGTTATGAAAGCCAAGAACAGCAAGGGGAGAAGGGAGATAATCAATTCCTCCTTCTTCCTCCTTGGTCCCCAGTTCAATCAGACATTGAGTTCCCTTTCCTTTCCATCCATTTTCCTGAACCTAAACTAGAGGGAGAGGTTGTATCACAACTTGAACTTCTATTAACCTGTGCTCCAACATTATACTCCTCAGGCTGGGATTCAAAGTAAAATAGCATTAACTGAGAATGAGAAGAGTTAAATTTCATCCTCAACTGACTCTTTTGGAAGGGTCTTCCATGTTGCCCCACCTAGTAAAGGAGATTAATAATACCTGACCATTGTCACCTCACCAAAGATTAATGATATCTGCCCATTGTTACCACACTAAATTTGGAGAGAAATTGCAGATATACATCAAGAGAAAACACTTATCAGTGTGTTGTTGCATTTTCAATACTAGAGATATTTCTCTTCACAAAATTATTTTTACTTAGGTTTTCTTACTTCATGCATTTGAAGCAACAGGGATAAAACATGCTTTTGAAGTGAGATGTCAGCCCAGATGTGAGGAACATATATGTTGACACAAAAGTTGAAAAGACCCCACAAAAATGACAAATGATGAAGAAAAAGCACGTTTACAGCAGATCCTGACCTTTTGAGAATATGATCAGCCTGTCAGCACTAATGGTTTTCCATGTTCAGAGCAAAAAGCTATGAGCACCTATATTTGGGATGGAGGTCAGATGATGTCTCAATATAAAAATAATGAAATAGTACCATGTCAGGCATAAAAAAATAATTCTGCAATTCTTTTTCCTTTCTTTTCTCATCATAGATGTACATGTTCGCATAATATACATAGGCACAGTGAGCCTGGCTCTTTTTTCTCCCAACCAATCCAGTCTCAAAGAGGAGTCTTAACATCCCTGAAGGGTATTATGGCACCTGGTGTAGTTATTAGGACCAAAGGATTGTTTTTTTGTTTTGTTTTGTTTTGTTTTTTAGTTCTGAGAATAGGGTTAGGGATTAGGAAATGGAACATAGCAGTGACTCTGAATCCATTTTTTCTATTCCATACCTTTATTGTGCATTTGCAACTTTTGCCTTGAAGCTTTCTTCAGAGGAATCTTCTATAGCTATAATACACCTCCTGGACATTTATCCTTTTGCCTAAATGTTCTGCCTCCTGACCTGGGTTTTTGAACTTATCAAAGTCGAGCATAGTTTTCTGAAAAGGTCCAGTAAAGCCATGCTTTCCTGATTATCTGGATTTTTATTAATGGGTTTCATAAGCTGACAGAAACTCAGAAGAGTAACATCTTAATTTGTGCAAGAAGCGTGTGCAACATGGGAGGAAGCCCTCTCAAAGTTCCCTTCATTCCTTGGCAAAGATTGCCCCTGGGTATGATTTCAAGGGTAGCAAGAGGGAGAAGGTTAAAGGTGGGGTGAATTCCTCCTAAAAGTGAGAAAGAAATAAGACTTTAAGGACTCCGCTGATATGCAAGAGTGTATAATAATAATAATAATAATAGTAATAAAATCCTAATAAGAAATATGAGAAATAAGTTACAACTGGGATAACCTACTACTGTGGATGGCTTGTTCATCAGCTGGGAACCATGAGCAGATCTGGTGCTATGAATTGGTATCCAGATATGAGGAAATTCTGTTTGAATAGGATCAGCTACTTTAACTAGGGGAGAACTCACTGGTCTATTCAAAAAGAGCACTTAATGTTATTGAATTGATTTAGCAAGCAAGAGATAGAAATCTAATGTCAATTTGGCCCTCATCAAGAGATTTTATTTTTCTGTAGGCTTCCTGCCTATATGTTAAATGTTATGTAATATAGCCAGAGACTATATGCAAAACTGTTGAAGACTAAAATTTCAATTTGTGATTTTTGTTTTTTCCTCACCCCATCAATTCTACATTTACTGTACCTGTGATGTCATAGACCTGTTTCAGGAATCCTTCTATTTCCCCCAGTTCTCCTGTTTGAGTCAAGTTAAAAGTGATTTTTCATTTCTCCTCATGTGATATAGTTTTCCGAGGCAGAGACAGCATTGTATAAGGAGAAAGCGAGTGAGAAAAAGTTCAGTCAGGTCTCTGAACTGTGGAAAGGCACTGTTTCAGGTCTTAGAAGTATCTCCATGGATTCTTCATCCTCAGGTTGCATTAAGTCAAAGATTTTCATTTAAATTTTATATCTCAATGGACAAACTCCATATTAATCATCTCTGTGGGTCATGTTCTTCCTGGCATTTCTCTTATTCCCCGTCTTTTGACATTTCCTCCTCAGGGTAGCATGACATACATGAGCTATCTTAGAATTTTCTGAATAAACATTCACTATAATCATTTCAAGGGAGGCAATGGTAAGTCATTGGCATAGAGAGTTCATCTGGATTTTCTTAACTTTCAAGAAATTTTTTCTTTGTGGCCCAGTAGATAACTGGGAGTCAGGCCTTTATTTCCTTCCTGCTCTGTTTAGCCACTGGGGAAATAGGTGTTGTTTTACCTCAGTGATTTCGAATGCAAAATGGGAATAATTATACTTTCTCTTTGGCTCACTGGAGGGTTAAAAAGATTAATACATTTTTTAAATTTAGAAAATACACATACTTCATGAGTGAAATATGCTTTGGGTAGGAATTATTATTAGGATTATTATCATCAATAAGGATTTAAATAATATTATTTGTCAAATAGAATCCTAAAAGTTAGAATTCAAGCTAATAAATTAAAACAGGCTTGAGGGGATGTGAACTTGAATGTCTGTCAATGACAATT